TAAAAATTTATTTATTTTTGCATAGAAGAACTGGGGTGTAGTCTAGAGGTATGGGGAGGGCATGAGAGAATTCATCAGAAATAAAAGTGGGGAGGAGCAGGGGACAGGAGAGGTCTGCTACTACCTCATATAGGTCAGCTCCCTGGTAAGGATCAGGATCAAACTTAGGCTGTAGTGGTGATAGCATTGAACTTAACCCCAGCCCAGTGTTGACATTATTTTTACCTCTCTCCTTTATTAAACACTTGGAAAACAAAACCAAAACTTCCTCACACTGCTTCCCCTCTCTAGTGTCACAGTTTGCAATCTCCTGTCCCATGATTCCCAGTGTTGGCTTGATTTTCTAGTTGTTAGGGAAAAAAAAAGATAGACTAACAAATGTAAATGTAAAATTGTGTTACAAATATAAAAATTACACAATAATGCATATACATTACCCAGGAGATTCTGATACACACCTCCTTAGTTGAGAATTTGCTATGGTGAGGTAGTCAGAAGTTTGTATACTGAAATTCTATACTTCGTGGACATTTACTGAGCTCTTCTAGTTGGTACAGAAGAAGGGAAGAGTAGTGGGCTGCCGCGGCTCTAGTACCAGAGTGCGTCTGAAAGAGCAGTTCAGTAAGGGTTCCAAAGTGTGACAGTAATGTACTTTACTAATGCAAATAACATGACCAGCTTTCAAGTCATGTTCTACAGTCTTCCTTAATTATAATAATAATTTCAATGACTTAAGAAAAAAATGACTGGGGCCACTGGGGCCCAGTTTTTAGAATAACAATCTGACCAGTTCTGATATACATATATATCTTTGTTGTAAATTAAGCTTGTTTATCCTAGTATCTTAATATTATCTTTCCCAGCTTCTGTAGTACTAAAATTCAGTTTCTCTTCATAAACTTTGAACCTGACTTTGAAGTTCTTTGCTCTTTTGATTTTTCAATTGCCCTTTGAAATTTAATGTCATGTAGCAATATTTTATTTGTGATCTTTAAAAGAATTTGTCAAACATGAATTAAAAGAATTTATCAAACTTTTTTTTTTAAGATTTATTTAAATCTTTAAAGATTTATTTAAATTTAAATAAACCTGGGGTACAGGCCAGAGGTTCAGGGGCAGTGAGAGGATTCACCAGGGACAGAGTAGGGAGCAGAACAGGCTGACTGACAAAGTACACTGCTGAGGGGAGCAGCGAGTGGGTCAGGAGAGGTCTGGCACACCATGTGGAGCACCTCTGGGGCCGGTGGGGATCGAACTCATGCTGAAGTGACCTTAGCTTCTTAAACCTGTGCCTTAACCCGCTGCGCCATCAGGGAGGGCGCAAGCTATGTTTTAAATAAAGGAAATGATAAGTAAGATTTCATAAGTCAAAATTATGATGACATGATAACTTTGAGATCTGCTAATTTATCTTTTCAATGAAATTACTTTAAAATTTGGGTTCTGTTTCATTTAGCAAATATTTATTGAGCGCTCATTAAATGGCTGGTAAAAATGTGTGTTTGGTGCTGGAGATATAAAGAAATGAGACAGACATGATTTGTGAAAATGAGTGCCTGTTATAACTGGATTTCTGTGAAAATACAAGTGGGCCTAGGGTTGAGAGAAGCATGTTTTAAAAGACTACCTTCACTTTGAGATCTGCAAGATTAGTAAGTGAGAAGCATGGGAAAGAACTGAATGTTTCAGGCAGGGGGAATGGCACCTGAAGGCTGTGGGTGAAGAATGGAGAGCATTCGACAAAGTGAAAGGTAATATGGCTGGATCTTAAACTGGGGGCTACAAGCAGGGAGGGCTGGTGATCAAAGATGAGAGGTAAGCAGGAGCCTGATCTCAAAGGATATTGTAAACCAATCTAAAGTTGGGCCTGGATACCTGAAAGATGTTTAAAGGGTGAAGGTCAGTATAGGAAATGAGAGAGGCAAGGTCCCCGAGAAAGTGGAAGTTGGTATGAGATCCAGATGGAAGGTTAGTTATGAGGAGTTTCTTAGGGTGCTGGGAAATGCTATAAGGAGGAGGGAAAAGGATGAAAGAACTTGACCATAATTTAGAAAGATCACTTTGGTGCCAGTGTGGAAAACTGAGTGGAGCAGGTTAAGGCTTGAAGCAGGTGACTGATTGGGAAGCTGTTACCTGTTGATGGTGGTCTGGAACTAGAGTGTGGCACTGGTGTTATAGAGAAGTAGATTCATGGAGCTGTTTCATTGGTGAAATTGATTAGAATTGGTAATTCCAGGAGATGGGAAAAAGAGAGTGGCAACGAAGGTTTCTGTGGAGGTTTCTGATTGGGCAATGGAATGGAAAGGAAAGCAAGGCTGGACAGGCAGGTGTTTGGAGGAGGGGAATGTGGTGATTTTATTTTGGGAGCAGTTCTAGTTTGCCATTGTGGACCTGGAGTTCAGGAGAGAGCTATAGGGTAGGCTTACAGATTTAGGTGTCATGAAAACAGTGACGACTAGGAAGAATGTATAGAAAAGTGGCTTTTTGAATTTATCTTTTTAGAGGGGAAGTGAGAGCTTTGTTAATCTGTTAAATTATGAGTTGTCTCCCAAGAAGACTCTTGTCAGATTATCACGCCAGAAAAATACACATACATAAAATGGTTGACACATAATTTCAAGGTTTACAAAGATGGAGGGAGATCTGTGCTGCCAGGTTATAGAATAAAAGATGATTTAGAAAAAACTCTGAAGAACCTTGTCATAGTTGGAACACAGGAATAAGATGTGGCAAAGAAGCCTTAGCGTGAGTTTTATGCTTGTGTAAAAACCACATGAACATGGTGTTAAATTTAAAGGAAACCAAAGAGAAATACTCCAGAAGAGGGAGCTGGCAGCAGTGGCAAATGCCCTGAGGCGTCAAGTGCAGTGAAATGTCTACTGAATGGATTTAGTTAATTAGGTCACTAGGGCTTTCAGGATGCAATACAGGAGGGGCCATGGTGAGAGAGGAAGCCACATGGATTGAAGCAGTGGATGGGAGCCTTAGTAGCGGAGATAAAGAAGTAGAGTCACCACGTAGGGACAATTTAAAGAATTTTATTATGAAGGAAAGAGGTAGGTGGTGGCAGGAGGGGGAAGGGTGGCAGAAACTTGTAGGTTTAAATGCTTATGAGGGTCAGGAGAGGAGACTGCAGACTAGGATCTGAGAAAGTGGTGGCTTGGGTAGGCGGTAGGGAGGGGGTAGGGGAGAGTGTACATGTAAATACAGTAGAAGGGGAATGAATGGGTATGAAAAATAGTAAGTTTGTAGTATTGGTAACAAGTTGGAGGAATTCAAATGTACTTTCTGTTTCTCTGAAGTAGGATATAGAATCATTACACTTCTTGAGTTACAGGATGATGGCTTAAAAAAAAAGATTGATTCATCATCACTGAAGATTATAAGTTGGATTTAAGTGTGTTTTATGTTTATCATAACAACTGTTTAGAAAAGAGTTCTAAATCAAGCTTGTAATTTGGTATTCTTCATTATTTTCTTCATTTTCATGATTGAGTTTTTATGTTTTTAAAAACAAAACTGTTTCTAAAACAAGGGCCTATCAGACTCTTACTGGTAAGTCAGTATCTTTCGCTTTAGTTTTACTTATTTACTGATGGTGCCTCCCTTTATTTATTTTTAAAGATTGTATTTATTTATGCATATAAGAGCTGGGGTATAGGCCAGAGGTGTGGGGAGGTGAGAGGATTCATTAAAGACAGAGGTGGGAGCAGAACAGGCAGATGTACTGAAATACACTGCTTAGGGGAACAGTGGGGAGACAGGAGAGGTCTGCTGCTCCATGTGGGTCACCTCCGTGTCTGGAGATCAAACTTAGGCTGCAGTGGCTGCCTGTAGCTTCACCGTGCTGACACTTAGGCCCTTGTGCCACCAGGGAGGCCCAAGATTTATTATGTTAATAAGATTTTATACACTAAACTTCCAATAGCTGTAAGTACTTGAACAAAAGTATAACTGTCGAATAGAAGTGAGTAGAAAGTAGCCAAATTTTATATTCATATATACTTTATAAACTACAAATATGTGGAAATTGGTGTTTTTCCCTTCACTTGTGTTAAGTTTGAATTAAGTAAGTTTGACTATCAGTAGTAACTTTTAATTGATGTATAAATAATGTACTGTAAAGTACACTACAGTGATTTTAGTGTATATACAAGGTTATGTATCTATTACCTTTAGGTATTAATTTGATACAGGGTAATCCAGAAATGTGGAATTGGGATCTCTAGCTCAATATTAACTTAATTTACATTAAGTTTATACTATAGATCTGTCTAGTCATTGAGCAGGTGATTTAGAAGGTAATTTATCTCTGCTGTATAGCTTCCATAGAGGTTAAATGTAGATGAAATGACATTTTAAAATTTTCATCTATATCACAAAAGTTTTAAATTGTCGTATGTATGGTTTTCTTCAAGAGAAAATTATTATATACTTAAAATGCATACAACCTAAATTAAGTACTTTTCCTTAGCACAGTTTTACTCATGCCACTGAGTTATGGAGAATCCATCTTGACGGCAGATACAAACTGGGCCGTAATCAGAACACCAGTTTCTGAATGTGCCTCAGCAGTTGCTGGTGATCCATGCTAAAGTTGAACCACTGGCTCATCTGTCCTACGTTTGCTGGTCTTTTAAAAAAAGCCTTGTGTTCATATTAACTACTTTACTGTAGTTTGTGTTTAATTATTATACTGTAGTTTGTGTTTAATTATTCATGGAGGCCAGAGTTGGGGGGGGTCAGAGTGGAGAGCAGCACAGGCAGACTGACTGAAATACACTGCTGGGGAGAGCAGTGGGCCAGACAGGAGATGTCTGCTGTGCCATGTGGGTCTGCACCCTGGTGGGGATTGTGCTTCAGTGGCTGGTGAAATAGCTAGATAGTACTGAGACAAACCCCTGTGCCACCAGGGAGGCCCTATTCATGGAGTTTTAAGATAAAACTTGATAATACAGTTTTAACATTTTATTTAATTTTTCCTCATATATTTTGTTTCCTTTACAGTACTCTGTGCAAAGAACTTGGTGAAAAAGGATTTTTTCCGTAAGTAAATTAACTTTAAATCTTGTATATTACTTGTTTTTTTGTTGAATAGTATTTTCACAGTTGTCTAGTTTAGGAAACTGTTCAGAATTATATTCAGTGTTATTTCATGAATGCTTTGATTCAGAGCCTTTTAGCATCACAACTCTAAGGCTTACGGAAAGAAATAATAAATTTTTGTTATTTTTAAAATGACTAATTCATTCCACTTGAAAATGACTATTTTCAGTCTTTCTAGGATAGAACCTGACATTTTATAAAACTTTATGATTAAATTTTTTTGTGGTGTCCATGTGTTCATGTAGCAAATGCAAAGGATCACTTGAGACAGGTGAGACCTCGATAGGCAACTTCCAGCTCAGCGCCGTGGGCCTGCACCCTCCTGCTCTCACAGCAGGAGGGCCGAGTGGCCTCGCCACGGTGCTGCCCATTACTGCCATCTCCCTAGGGGTCTGCTGAGCGTCCACCTTATTCCTGTTGCTGACAACAGAACATGTGCTCTTTTTACCTTCTTGAGGGTGGTCTGAGGTAGGATTTGGAGCAGTGGGGCTGCAGAGTGGCAAATAGGATTGGATAAGCAGGTCACAGGAAGAAAAGGGCAGAAAATGAGAAATTCACACTTAGAGCGCTTCTGTACCCTCCAAGACATCAGCTCTGTCTTTTATTTTTAAAGATAAAATTTTAGTCTTGTTTCCTATCCTAACCCAACCCAAGACATAGCTTCTGCAATGATTTATACAGATACCCTTATTTCAGTTTCAGAAAATCTAGAAGAATTTCCATTCCTTGTAGACCTCTGAGAGCTGTTTATTATCATTTAAATGTTCTTTATCTTTTGCTTCCTTGGTGTAGGCAGTAAAAATTGATAAAATATTGTCAAAACAGTTGTTAGCTTACTTCAGGGTAAAGAAAATTAGGGGAAAATGTTTATCTTTAAAACTTAGGATGGAAGAACTTGAAGCCCTTGGAAAGTGGAACTCTCCAGATCCTCCTCACCTGCCCATGGTAGATTCATGTTTGTGCTTAGAGCTGTTTTTAAGTTGAATTTATACAGTCATAAGTTACTTTTATAAATTATTAATTTCAGAGGGAGAATTAAGTAACAGTTCTTAAATCTGTTAAATTTGAATGAGTGTATATTCATTGAACAAAATGCTGTTACCATCAATATGGAAACAGTTTTTGCTTGTGATTCAGTTTTAGTATATAGCATGACTACAGGTTAATGTAATTAAAACACATCTTTTTTAGGTACAGGAAAAATAGACTGCCTTCTTTCTCTTTTGTAGGGTAATTCGCTTACTTTGACAATATTATTTATTCCTTGTATCAACTACCTTTGCTGAGAAAAGTTTTTGTTTACTCCTGCTTTGAAACTGTTAGAGACTTATTGGATTTTAAAAAGAAGTTACTTCTCCCCTACTTACCCCAATTTCAGCAGGAAAAATTTTAAGCATACAGAAACATGTAAAGAATTTTATAGTGATTATATTCACTTTCTAGAATCTGCCATTAACTCTGTAACATTGTGTTTCTAAAAGATTGTTTCTGTGGTATCAAGTTTTTTCTCTCTTATACAATACTTGAAAGATTTCTGTGTAAGAAGACACCGTGTTAAAATGTAGTTGTATAGGAGCCAAACTAAAGTTACTTAGAACCAAGATAGTTGGATAAATGTTTTTTTCTTCCCTAATCTAAAAATAAAGCTTTAGATTCTCTGTAAAGTAAGTCATTTTTAAATTTGGGTTTTTGTTCCATCAATTTTGACAGCTCATGAAGTGTTCTTGAACTGTAGTCATTTTATATGATTGAAGTTGTGGGGAAAATTGAGACAATTGGAAAAATAAAGAAAATACACTAGCCACTTTGTATTACCACTAGAGGTCTCACTAGAGTCAGAAAACCTGACTACTTTTGACCACATTTCGGGTAACTTTAACTCATAAGTTAAATTTTTGTAGGGTCATATAATCAGGTTATGTTGATTATATGTATGATTGTATGTGTGAGCATG